CCCGGCCCCGTCCCGCCCCGCCCCGGGGCGGTCCCGGCCTGTCGGGATAGAAATAGGCGGCGCGGCGGCTGCCGGCACATCGTGAGCGGAGCCGAGCCGAGCAGCGGCCAGCGCTGTAGCACCGCTCCTTCCCCGGCTGCCTCGCGTGGAGATTCTCCTGCCTTTCTGGTTATTTTTTTTTTTTCCCCAATTTAAGAGGGAAGATACTTTTAAAATTTTTTATATATATATATATCGATTTTTTTTTTCCACGCCGTGGTTCGCAGCGGGGCTCGCCCTCGCTCCCTCTCAGCGCGCAGCGGCTGCGCTGGGGCCGTTCCTGCCCGGCTTTGTGCCCTGCAGACCCGGCCCTCCTCTTCCTCCTCCTCCCCCTCCTGCCGCAAAACCTTCACGAGGTTCGCAGCAGCATCCGAAAGCGCCGCAGCCGCTCGCCCAAACCACCGACTGCAACAAAAGCCCTTTTTATTATCTATTTTTTTATCATATATTTCCCCCACTCCTTCCCCCCCTCCCCCTTTTTTTATTTCTCCTCCTCCCTCCCGCGAACGCATCAAGGTGGACGCGGAGCGCAAAAAGACCTTTGTTTTAAAGATGCCCATGGAGCTGACGCAAAGCCGCATCCAGAAGATTTGGCTTCCCAATGACAACCGCCCGGCGCTGCCCCGCCGCTGTGAGTACGGGCACGGCAGCATCCCGGCGGGATGGGGATCGGGATGGAGCCGCGGGCTGGGTGGGAAGCTCTCCCTTCTCTCCGCGCAGCATCCCCGCCGTGCCCCAGCATCCCGGCGGTGCCCGCATCCCAGCCGCTGCCATCCCAGGCGACAGCCGGCTGCTGTCGCACGGCGCCGCGACACGCCTGGCCCCGTTTCCACTCTGCGCTGCCAGCCCTGGGATGCAGAGGGAAGGGAGCAGGTTGTGCGCCTCGCCCCCCCCCGGTGCCAGCTCAGCTGGGAATTTTTACAGTGTCCAGCGGCTCGCCCGGGGATTTGTTAATGGTGGAATCGTGAATGGTTGGGGTTGGAAGGGGCTGTACAGATAATCTCGTTCCGCAATCCTCCTGCCATGTGACAGGGCACCTTCCACTAGATCAGGTTGCTCCAAATCCTGTCCAATGAGTGTGTTAATTTTTTTATTTTTTTGAGGACTAGGGCAATGTATTTAGGGGTAAAAAGCCTCAAACAAGCATCAGCTGTTTGCACTTTGCTATTTAACCCTGTGGGGAAGAGGAGGCAGGTGGAGGAGGAGGCAGAAATTAGCGCTCAAACTTCTGCAGTGGTTTCCCCTTATCTCTGAACCTCGGAATATAAAAATGTTTGGGTCCTTCCGGTGTTGCTATAAACCAAATCTTAAATCGTGAGCCGATCTGAAAGCTCAGGAAGCGGCTCCTTAAGTCACCCACCAGCTACAGGGACAGCCTGCCAGCTGTGCGATTCCTGACTGAACGAGCGGCGCAGGAATGCGCGGAGCCGGGATGGAGGGGGTGGCACTGCAGCCTGCCGAGGGATGGAAGTGGCTTGGGTGAATCAGTCTTTCCGCCGCTTGCCTTCATCAGGCGCTTCAAGTCGCATCCGATGTTTATTTACCTTGGCTGGAAAGTTTCTCCTAAATAGTAATAATAATATTTTAAAAAGTAGGTATCCTATGAACTTGCCAGATGCTGTTGCCCCCGGTTGTGGGTCAGGCACCCTGGAGCAGATGTTGGGATGCGCAGCCTGTGCCTGGCAAGGGCAGCCCTGCGGCGGCAGCTGCCGAGGAAATGGATTTCAGCAACAGGCTGCACATCTGGGTAGCCAAGGGGCTTTGCTTAGAGTGGGGTAAAACGTCTCCCGGCTTAATGCTTTGCACGTGTGTCTCTGTGGCTGGATTTTTCTCAAGGACTGGCACCTCTGAAAGAACTCCCTTGTGCATGCAGTGGTTTTTTGCCACTTCGTTCGCCTGGTTTCTCAGAGAGAGCTCCTTTTGGCAGCGGGAAAAACTTAACATATTTGATATATTATGGCACCGAGGGGCTTATTAATAACATAATGTGGCTTGTAATTATCTTTTCTTGGGGTGGGAGCGAGCCACGCTGTTCAATGTGAGAAGAGGTTTTTTTTTAGCTTAGTCTTTTTTTAACTCGAGGTATTTTAAACGCGAGGTGCTATTCATTCCTCAGCAGCAACAAAAGAGCGAGGGCTGCAAAGCTGGGTGGGAAGGGAGGAATAACGGGGACCGCTTCCAGCGCGATGCCCGGAGGGAGCGGGCGCATCCCTGGGAGCATCCTTTGGAGGATGCGAAATCTCCCATCCCGGGTGTGCAATAACGAGTCCGGCTGTGTGGTGGCCGGTCCAGGGGAGGCTGCAGCCATGCCTTGGGCTGCCCTTTTGCCGGCGATCCATTAAATTGCTGTCACGCCGCACGTCTCTCACGTAGGGGCTGGGAAAGTCGATCCATCGAAGGCGCTGGGCAGAGCCAGCGAGGGGAGGGGATGCTCCGGGAGGGAAAGGGCTGCCACCGCCTCTCTCCATCCATCCCATCGCTGCTTTTTCCCGTGCCTGCGGCTCGCTGGCTCCGGAGCACACGCCGCGGGTGTTCGCATCCATCGCAGGACCGCGCATCCCTGGAGGTGTTGGAATTGCAGCGGGAAGAAGCTGGGCAAAGGGCAATAGGACTAACAGAACGTGGAGCAGTTTGGGCTTGCGGGAGGTTTTGGGGAATACTTAGGGAGGAGACAGTAAAAATGCCCGAAGTGGGGAGCTGGCTGTTTTATCCGACTTTTTATAGAAGCAAATTTTCTTCCCTTTTGGGCTGGGTGGGGTGGTTTGTTTTGTTTTGTTTTTCCTTTTACCCGCTGGTGAAGCTGACTTTCTGGCAAATAGCAAAAGCGATAAGCTCCTTTTAAATACCCTCTGAAAATCATCCCTGGCCTTGACTTACCTGGCTAGATGTCGATAAGGAGTAATGAATATGTATTGAAATCCCTGATGGCTTCCCAGCAGTGGTGAAAAGAAATGATGAATGAGGCCTTTGTGAAAGACTGGGAGCAAAACACTGGGTTCTGTTTCATCCCTGATGCAAAGTTTCCCTGGGACTTTTGCTTTGGGCTCAGACTCCTGATGAAATGTTGCTCACTGATGCCATGGTGCTTTGGGAGGTGCTTCACAGGTGCTGTTCCATTGTGCAAGGGCAGTAAAAATTGGGAGATTGCTGAATTAGAGGTGTTTAACTCTTGCAGCAGCCTCTGGAGGTGACATGTGTGTGCCCACACAGTGCCAGCCCTGGGGCTGTCACAGCTGTCTGGAGCCACAGGGACATGAACAGTACCCAGCATTGTCCCTTTACTCTTGGAGTGTTTATTAATGGCCCTAAATCCTCTTGGCTCTACTCTTTGAGATCCTTTGTCCACACTGGCAGGTAGGGAAAGGAAAAGTTTCCTTATTCAGGTATTATTCCTTCCTCCTCCCTTTATCTAATAAGCGTGTGGGTGTTGTGTAAAACAGGCTTGCACCCATAACTTGGATGAGGATGTGACATTGTTGGAGCGGGGAAAAGTATTTTTCTTGGTGTGTTGCACAGCTCCCTTGTGCCCCAGCACAGAAAATTGGCACTTGCTGCCAACATTTTTGGGAGCTGCCCTGGGGTTTTGAAATGCAGCACTGGGTGTGGGGGCAGGTTGCACAAAGGGAGTGAGTGTGAGGGAAACCCCAGCCAGGGGAATGAAACAAAAAAAAAAAAAACCACCAAACATATTTTAGGTAGTTTTTAATCCTTGCCTGCTGAGTTTGCTTTGGTAAGAAACTTAGGAAGATGATGGGTAGCTCTTCTCTGTCATCTGGGTACCACTGCCATGAATCTTCCTTGGTTTCTCCAGATGCTGGATTTATTTATTTTCTTAGAAGGGGAAGGTAATCCCATGTGCTTTGCATGTTCTGTGGGCACCTCTCAGCTTGTTTGGCCTTTCCAGATCCACGTTGACAAAAACCTACCCCAGCCATCCCTGGGAGCCCCTGGCATCCCTGGTCCCACCTTCAGGCAGCTGTGACAGGCAGGCAGAGCTCTCCACCCAGGCCATAATTAAGCTGGGTTTTATGGCTCTGCCACCAGCCACTCACTCCCTGCATTCCTTTCCTCTGAGGTCTCTGTGCTCACCGGGTGGATGCAAGGGTGGGTGAGAAATCCCCTGCAGGGTCCCATCTGTCCTGCAAATGCTGCCTCTGGGTTTTCTTTCCAGCTGTTTGACATGGACCCTCTTCACAAAAAAAACCAACCAAAAAACAAAAAAACAAAACAAAAAAAAAAAAACAAAAACAACCAAAAAACCCCAAAAAACCCACAAAACCCAGCTAGGGTTTATGAAGAAAAAAGGATAAACCACTTGGATGTCTGCTTTTAAATGCTGCTAGTTCTGTGCTTCTCTTACCTTGTTTGTCGTGAGAAAATCCAGTTAGCTGGCTGTGTGTCGGCTAGGAATCCAGTCAGAGATTTTGGGAGATGCTTTCTGTGGGTGAAGAGCTTGGACCAGACCTGGTATTTCAGCACAGGCACTGCTGCAGGGATGAGTCCAAAGTCCTTGGCTATCCTTGAGCTTTTGATGGAATTACCAAGCCATTGGAATGTGAAGTTGTGCTTGCCTTGATTTTAAATTTTATTTTTTAAATTATGGTTTATTTTGGTTGCAAATGAAGAAACTGAGGCGCAGAGGCTCTCCAGGGAGCCTGGACCAGCTGCTGGCTCCTTGCCTGTTTTGCACACCCATCAGGATGTTCTTGCTGTGGCTTTCAAGTTTCCTCCAGCTGCTGAAGGACTTGGAAGGAGTCCAGATTAAAAACAAGTTACTTGTAGGGTCGATGCAGGATAAGATGAAGAATTAACAGTTTCTCTTTTTTTCTTGCAGCCTGTGGGCCTCAGCTTGCCAATTCCCCCACTGTGATAGTCATGGTTGGCCTCCCAGCCCGTGGCAAGACCTACATCTCCAAGAAGCTAACTCGCTACCTCAACTGGATCGGTGTCCCCACAAAAGGTAACGCTTGCACTGCCTGCCGTACCTGGGGAAAGCAGGAGGTCTGGTCCTCAGGAATTCTTCTAGATCAGTGCCTTGGGAGCTGAGAGGCAGTGGGGGATGTTTCCAAGATCCCACAGGCCAAATATCTTGTCTTTTCACATCCTCATGCAGCCAGATTCTCCTTCACTTTGAAGACCAAGGGATGCCCTGAGGATGTAATTTCTTGTCCCCAGCTTGCCTTAACTGCAGAAACTGCACAACTGAGTCATGCCCCTCATTTTGATACCTGCAGAAGCTGCACAATTGAGTCATGTCCCTCATTTTGATGTTTTTTTTTTTTTTTTGCTTTCCCCACCTAGTTTTCAACGTTGGGGAGTATCGCCGCGAGGCCGTGAAGCATTACAGCTCCTATGACTTCTTCCGGCCTGACAACGAGGAAGCCATGAAAGTCAGGAGGTGAGAGTGGGTTCCGAGAGCTCAAACCCGAATCTGTACTGGGCTTGGTAACGCCAGGGTGGCCACCACACCCAGAGGACGTCAGGGTGTCCCCTCCTTTGCAGGCAATGTGCCATGGCTGCCCTGCGGGATGTGAAGCTGTACCTGACGGAGGAGGCCGGGCAGATCGCGGTGAGCTCCCAGAGCGTGAGAGCCCCGGGCTTGGTCGGGGGTCTGGTGTGGTGGAAAAGTCTCCTCCAACCCGAGCTTCCAAAGAAAAACTCCACAGCCTCTTGTTCAGTCTCAAGGCAGTTTATTGCAAGTTATCTTAAAGATTTTTCTTCTCTGGCTGCGGCTGTTTGGTCAGCAGCCCAGGCAGAGACACACACCCCCTGACATCCTCTCTGTCTGCTGTCTTCTCTCCCCCCACCCAGGGCTGCTGCTATCTTTTATATGATATATTACGTATTATATGTTTACAGTTTTTCCCCAATACCTACTACCTATATTACAAAGTGCTTTTCTACTCTAAACCAATCCACAAATGCCAGCATCACCAAGAACATGGAGGCAAGGAAGAAGGAGGAAGAACAGGATCAGCCCACTTTCCTCCATCGTAGAACTTTTGAGCCCCATGTACAAAGTAAAAGCCCCCCTGTACAGGTGCTAAAGCCCCCCTGTACCATACTAAAAAAATTTCTACTCTGTCTTGTAACTACTTCTACTATACTATCTAACCCTTTGTGACTGCTTGTTCCGCCTTCAAAGTTGCTAACTCATTCCATGGCTCAAACCCAAAATCACAGCTGTTTCCAGCTGCCTGCCAGGGTCTAAAATGCTTCTGACCAAGGCCTGGAACCTCTAAAAATGCCTGAGAGACATTTTGAGTTCCAACACCAGAGGTGCTCTGGGCTTTGGCAGCCCCAAAGGTTCTCTGCAGTCCCTTCTCTGAGGAGGGGCTCTCTGGACAACCAGGCTTTTGTGGTGCTAATTGAGATCTTTTGCTTTCAAAGGTTTTTGATGCCACCAATACCACACGGGAGAGGAGAGATATGATCCTGAACTTTGCCAAAGAGAACGGGTTCAAGGTGGGTGCCATGGGGCTGATGCCTGCATTGTGAAGTCCATGCAGTGCAGAGTTGGTCTGTCTTCCCTCACTCATGTGTTATCCTCATGCTGCTCCTGTGTGAGGGAGATTTCACTGCTGGGTTTGATTTTAAAAAAACTCTTCCTTCATTCCCTGTACTGAGCCATGGGGAGGGAGAGGATGGGAGCAGGGCAGAGGGAGAGCTCTGGTCAAGCAGGGAGGAGGTTGGGTTGAGCAAGGAGCTGGCTGGATGTTACAAACCTTGCTGGTGGCTTTCAGCTGAGCTTTGCTTTGCTTCACAGGTGTTCTTCATTGAATCTGTCTGCAATGATCCCAACGTAGTTGCCACCAACGTTATGGTAAGTGTGGAAGTGTCCTGCTTTTGCTTTCCCTCCATAGAGAGGCAGGAATGGCATCACCTTCACGAGCTCTGATCTTTATGGTGGGCTTCAAATACCCTGGTATCTGCTGGAGGGGCAGCACAGCATGGCACTGGCAATCCAGGAGGTTCCTGGAATGTGTTGGTGACTTCCTTCTCCAAGGGACAGCACCTCTCCTTGTTTGCTCTCTGTTGCACCCTTCTGTCACCAATAAGGAGGGGCTGGTGAGGAATGTGAAGCTCCAGGGCAGCCTGTGCTGCAGTAGCTCTGACCTGAAATGTCAGAAGAGCTGATTTTGGCCTGGAGTAGCGTGGGATAAAAAACCCAGGAGGGAAGAGGGGCCCAAGAAAACTGGTACATGGTGAAGGATCTTCTCCAAGTTCAGCTGTGATGCATTCCCAGCAAAGGAGCAGCCATCAAAAATGCCAGCATGAACAAGGAGCTCCTGGATGAACCCCAACACTAAAAGGAAGCCTACAGAGAGAGGATGGAAGCAAGGACAGGCAGCCTGGGAGGAATACAGACATTGTCCGAGCAGCCAGGAATTGGGCTAGGAAAAACAAAAACCTGACAGAACTGGGGGACTCACACCAGTGTTTGGGAAGATAATGGAGCAGATCATCCTGGAAACTCTGCTGAGGCACATGGAAGATAAAAAGTGCTTGTTGACAGCCAATGTGGCTTCACTGGAGGCAAATTGTGCTGCCAGACAGGGGCTGAAGAGTGTCTTTTGCTCCTGCTGGGAGCTGTTATCCCAGTGACCAACTAACTGGGAGGTTGCATACAGCCTTTTCAACAACAAAATGCTCAGTTTGCTAGTTTGTTTTTTTTTTCCCAAGCTGGATTTTTTTTTTTTTTTGGAGGATTTTAATCCCTTTATTTGGAAACTAATGCTTGAAGGGGGAGAAAATCAGCTCCTAGCTGAGCATGGGATTTTGCTGCACAGGGAACTGCAGATGAATGGTGCTCTTAGTGCTGGGATCAGTGTGGAAAATACACCCCAGGCCTGAGATGTTGCCACATGTGTTGATCCATTGTGTTATCCTGTTGGTTTCAGGAAGTTCCCAATGTGTAATGTTGCTGTTCAACCCCAAATCTTCAGGAAGAACAGCCTGTTAGATCAGTTCAGGCAGGATGTAGTCTGTAGGGGTTGTGGGTATTCACACTGCCTGTTTCTAGTGTCTTTCAGCCCAACAGCTTGCAGCAAATAATGCACAGAAAGAGGTTGAATGTTGCCATCCTGCTGCTGAGCTGGGATAAGCATCTTGCCTATGTTCATGCACTTCCCTTTCTCAGCTTGAATTTGAACCTGATGAGGTTTTTTTTTAGCCATTAGGAAGCTAAGTTTTCCTGCTGTTGGGTGGTAGAGTGCTAGCCCATCTCTTGGGAGAAAGGGAGTGGACTGTCTGTGCTAATCAGGCAATGGTTGATACCAAATTCTCCCACCTGATGCTTGGTTTTGGGTCTAATTTGCTACTTTTCTGCTCTGAGAGTGATGACTATAAAGCAGTCATCACTTAGATTCAACTGATCACTGGATCTTGGCAGGACTTGGAAATTCCAGATTAGCATTGTCTGGCTTGGAAAAGCTTCCTAACCTCTCCTTGTGGCATGTTTTTTTTTCTGTTGCAGGAAGTCAAATTGTCCAGCCCAGATTACCGGGACTGTAATTCCACTGATGCCATGGAGGATTTCATGAAGAGGATCAATTGTTACCAAGCCAGCTACCAGCCCCTCGACCCTGATGACTATGACAGGTAGAAGACCTTGACTCTGAGCTGCCTTGAGCACCTGCCCTCTCCCAGGAGAAGAGCAGTGAAGGGTGGAGCTGTATTCACTTTGTCTTCAAATGCCTGACTGTGCTAGAAGGATTTATGGCCAGGCCTCACCTTGAATTCAGGCCTTTTATAGGAAAATGCTGGTTCCCCCAGGCCCTGTGCCAGGGAAATGGGCACTGATGCCTTCCCAAGCTCTTCTGGGTTCAGATGAGCTGTTTTCAACCTTGTTCTGCAGGTCTAAATACAAAGGCTTTGGGAAAGCACTTGAGTTTGAGTGGTTGAGTTGCTTTTTTTCCATTGTCCCAGTTAAAGGAAGGGACTGCTTGGCTCAAACCACAGGATTGAGCAAGCCCTGTGGCTTCTGCCTGGTGGCTGTGTGCCTTGGAAGAGTTTTGCTGTCCTGCCTGACTCTGCAGGCACCTCCCAGCCCTCTCCACTGCTCACAAACACTTCTGTGTGCCCTGTGTGGATTGTCCCTGTCCTGGGGAGGAGCATGTTCCCTGTTAGTCCTGTTTAATCCTCTTTACTGCTGCAAGAGGAGGGGGGGCGATTACACTGCTGCTATTCAGCTCTCCATGAATCCCCACTACCTGTTGGCTCCCTGCTGAAAATAGCCTGCAGGAAATCCTTTGAGCTGGGTGATTACATGGACAGAGATAACTCACGGGGCTGCTTTGGAGAATGACATCTCTGTCTGTCCCCAGGGAACTTTCTCTCATCAAAGTCATCGACGTGGGCCGGCGGTTCCTGGTCAACAGGGTTCAGGATCACATCCAGAGCAGGATTGTTTATTACCTGATGAACATCCACGTCCAGCCCCGCACCATTTACCTCTGCCGGCACGGGGAGAGCGAGTTCAACCTCAAGGGCAGGATTGGAGGGGACTCTGGCCTCTCCAACAGGGGCAAGAAGGTGAGGGAGGAGGAAAATGTCCCCCTCTGGCTTCCAGGAGTGATGTGGCTGTAGTAGGTGCTGTGCCTGAGCTGCTGAGGGTCCATCCTGCAGATCAGTGAATGTGTGGCTGCCCTTCCCCTGAGCACAAGGCTGACCTTTCTGCCTGGGAAGAAAAGCCCATTGGGAAGCTGTGGACCAGGAATCAACCTCTTTTTTTTTTTTTTTTTTTTTTTTTTTTTTTTTTTTTTTTTTTTTTTTTTATGTCCCACAGTTTGCAGTGGCCCTGAACAAATTCGTGGAAGAGCAGAACCTGAAGGACCTCAAAATTTGGACCAGCCAGCTAAAGAGGACAATCCAAACAGCAGAAGCTCTCCAGCTGCCCTATGAGCAGTGGAAAGCACTCAACGAAATCGATGCTGTGAGTATCTGTGCAGCCACAACAGCTGCATGGGGCTGGTTGGTGCTGAACAAGAGAAAGTGAGGTTTTGTCTGGTGGCTGTGTTGATGTTGTTTGACTTGGGCATGTCCAGTAACCTCATGCTTGTCCTGCCCTGGCAGGGGGTGTGTGAAGAAATGACCTATGAAGAAATCAGGGAGCAGCATCCAGAGGAATTTGCCCTGCGGGATCAGGATAAATATTACTACCGTTATCCTTCTGGGGAGGTAGGTCTGCAGAGACACAAAACTTACTTTAAATGTGGCCTTTTTTTCCTCATTCTGTCCTCTACTCTTGAGCAGAGGAGCAGTGGGAGCTCCAAGAAACTAGAATTAAAAGAGAGCAGGGCTCATGTTTACCTCTGCCCCGAGGTCTTGTGAAATCTTGGCATATGAAGATCTCAATAAGAAATATATCACTTAACAAACAGTCCCACTGACTTTATAGCAAATTAGTAGGGAAAGGTCTCTGGAGGTTTCTAGTCCAACCATGGTTATATCTGCTCACAGTTTTGTGCTGCCCTAATTTTCTTTCCTTTCATTTCCAAAAAAAGTAATTTTCACCTTGTTCTCAGTATCATTCCCTAAGGGCTGATGGTAATATCTCTGTTCCTGGCAGTCTGCTTTCAGGGTGTGACACAATGAGGTGGGAATTTGCATCAGTTCTGGATGATACTTTTAGGCTGTGAATTGAGCTAATTATCCCCAAATTGAAAGTCATGCCCATAGACATATCAGAAAAATCTCTGGAGATGGTCTCATGACCCTGTATCTGGCAGAAGAATATACGGGGAGTTCTGACACCAACTCTGGGTGTCTGGGGCTCCTTCTGCATGCCTGTCATGGTTTTTATGAGGCCCTTCAAAACCCTGGGGTTTCTCAGGTTGCTCCAGACTTCTCAGAACTTGGAAATCCTGTACCAAATCAAATATCAAGATGGTGGAGAGGCTCTATCTTCAAAGCCCTTGTTGCTTACATTAATTCTCCAGGCCTGAGCTGTGATTCACTGAGATGTGAATGGCTCCTTCTACAGGAGTTCCAGAGTAGCATGGGGATGAGGATTTATTTGTTTTTAGCAGTTTGTTGGCTTACTCAGAGGCATGAAACTGGGATGTGTACCAAGATGACTGTTTCTTTGGGATGCTCATTGCATTGATTCCATGCCTCATCTCCCTTCCCTTCTTCCCCAGTCCTACCAAGACTTGGTGCAGCGCCTGGAGCCAGTCATCATGGAGCTGGAGAGGCAAGAGAATGTCCTTGTCATCTGCCACCAGGCTGTCATGCGCTGCCTCCTGGCCTATTTCCTGGACAAGAGTGCAGGTGAGCTCCCTGCTCTGGGAGAGGCTTGGCCCTGCTGGAGGAGGGATGCTCTTACAGCTCTGGGGAGACTCTTCACATCGTGGAGAGTGCATCTCTTTGGTGTGGGATGAAGGTGTCTGAGCCTGCCTCTGGAGAAGAGGTGGGCTAACCCTCCTGCTTTGCTGTCTCTGCAGATGAAATGCCCTACCTGAAATGTCCCTTGCACACAGTGTTGAAGCTGACCCCCGTAGCCTATGGTGAGTGAGACCTTCCTAAACATGCCAGGGGGGGTTGACTTGTACCTCCTCCTGAATCCAGGCTGTCTGGGAGAAAGCAGGGATCTGTGGTGGGGCACTTGATAACCTCCTGTGCCTGCTGGGCTTGCTGATCTGTGTCTGTGCTCCTTCCTGCAGGCTGCCGGGTGGAATCCATCTCGCTCAACATTGAAGCAGTCAACACCCACAGAGATCGGCCAGAGGTGAGTGTTGCTTTTCCCTGGAGCTGTCCTGTGGTGTCCCCCTCCAGTCCCCTGTGGTCAGCTGGCAGTGGGAACTGCCCAGTCGTACCTGGGGTGGTGGGCATGGGGAGATTGCTCAGCTGGGTGCTTGGAAGTGCTGCTGGAAGACCGGGACCATCAGATGTGTTCTTGCTCTCCAAAGTCATAGCCAGTTGAGGGTTTTCCAAGGAAAAAAGATTTGCATGTTCCTGCTTTCCCAGTGTGTTTGCCCAGGGAAAACTCCTCCCTGGTCTCTGACTTTCACCTGCATGGTTATCCACTCACCCAAGCAGGAAGTGGAGCTGTGGATGGAGAAGGTGACTTCTCCCAGGTCTCCCAGCTGGCTGGCAGAGCCTGGGCTCAATGCTTGCCCTCCATCTGCCTCTGAGGGTCTTTTTTCCTGGTGTGCCCATGGCTCTCTGTCATTCTGCAGGGTGGGAGGTGGCAGTGCTGGGCTGGGGATGCTCTGTGGAGGAGACCCCTCCTGTGGAGAGGTTTCTGTAGGGTTGGGTCTGTGTGCCAAGTGCTCCACTGGCGCTCAGAGACCAGAACAAGAGGATGCTAAACTCGGTGTCAGGGCTGGGCAGCCACTCAGAGTGGGCCACAGGGAGCCTGGCACCACCCATGTCCCAAGATGCTGGGACATTTCCAACTTGTGCTCAGTGCTGGAGCCCAAAGTGATGCTGAACAGTCGGGGCTGTCCCCTTTTGCCCCACATCTCCTTTCCTTTGCTTCCCCTGTCAGGTGGCAGCAGCTGAGCTGCCTGTCCCCCCCCTGCAGCTGTGGGGGGAAGCCAGCCCTTCCCCCTGCCTGGGGCCACTGATACCCTGCCTTGCCACCCTCTCTGGGGATGGCAGCAAGGGCAGGGTGAGACACGTGCCAAGTGCTTGGGTGCCCCTGCTCAGCTTTGCCTCCATCCCCCCTCGCTTGAGTTGGAGCTTGGCCTGGTGCCGACCCTTGCTGGCTGCTCTGCTCCCATTTCCCAAATCTTCCTGACCAGCCTGGGCTGCCTCATCTTCCCTCTTCTTGCTTTCACTCCTCTGGGTGGAGGGACCAGCTTCGAGGAGGAGACCAGTGGGTACCTCTGTGTCCTGCAGAGTCACAGCTTGGTTGCTGCTGGGTGTGTTTAGCTACCTGTGGTTACTTTTTTTTTTTGTCAGCTGAGATGCAGATGAGAAAATCTGTCTCATGTCTGAGTGCAGACATTTTTTTTCTCCCTTCCCCTCCTGTGCTCTTAAGCATTTTGTATCAGGGGTTTCTTTTTTGTGCCCAGAGACTTTCAGTGCATCCTTTGCTCATTTACAGTGACTGTGGGGAAAAGCAGAGGCCACTTTAAGACAACAAAAAAAGAAAACCAAAGCAACTTGCTTCTTTTTTTTTTTCCTTTATAACTGTCGCCTTCTTCCTTTTTCTTTTATTTTGCTTTATTTTTTTGTATTTACTTTTATTTTCTTTGTCTCACTTTAATTTAGGAAGCAAAGAAGGGACCTAACCCGCTCATGAGACGTAATAGCGTTACCCCTCTAGCAAGCCCAGAGCCCACCAAAAAACCTCGCATTTTTTTTTTTTTGGAGCATGTGGCTGTTTCTTCTGCCCTGCCAGGCTGTTTTTTTTTTTTTTTTCCCACGCAGATGCCGGGACAAGTTAGTTGAACTCTTCTTTTTTTTTTTTTTTNTTTTTTTTTTTTTTTCTCCTTTTTATTCTTTTTTTTTTGTTGTTCTCGTTGTTTTATTGTTTGTTGTCCTCCTGTCACTCCTGAAGCTGAGGAAGCTGCTTGCACTTGTTGTAACCTGTGCTGCTGTCTGAGATGCATCTTCCTCCCATGGCTGCTGTCCCTCCCTGCCTTGGATCACTGTTGATCCTCTCTTGGGTTTTGAGAGCATCATCAACTTCCACCAAGCTCTAGGCTGCATTAATGTAGTGCCTTCACCATCCAGCATCAACCTTCTGAGGGGTCTCCTCCCTGGAGTGAGTGGGAACAAAGGGCTGGTGCCTTCCCTTCCCTCTGTTGTAGACCTGGGCATGGCAGTAAATCAAAATGCTCTTGTGCTTCTCTGAAGGAGGAGCTGCTGCCAAGACTCATCTTTGGCTGGAAGGGTCTCCTTCATCCTGAAGCTGCAGGCAAAATGGACCCAAATTGAGTAGAATGTTCTTGGTGTGGTGAACCTGGGTGAAACCCTGTGGGGTGCCATGGTGCTCATGTGTCTTCTCCTCTTTCACCCACCCATGAAGGGACACAGAAAGAGAGGCCTTGCTTGCTGCTCACTTTGCCAGGCACAAACCCCTCTCCTAAGCTCACTAAGGAATCCTATATAATCTATAGGAGCCTTTGCCATGCTGCCCTTCCCACCAGCTGTTGGATCTCGCTGTCTTGCCCAGCCCCTCTCCCTGTTGTCTGTGTTGGTGTGATGTCCCCCTCCTTGCCCAGATCCTGGGCAGGTTAGGAATGGCTCCATGCTCCACCACTGCTCTGCTTGGTTACTGCTTTGCACGAGCCTCCCAGGACAGCTGGGTCTGCCTCAGCTCCCAGGGCTCTGCTTGGGCTGGCTGAGCCTCACGAGAAACCTTTTGGCAGCTCTGGCTGCCCGGTGCCCCTTGCTGCTGTCCTCTGCCTGCTGTGGCTCAGAGTTACTGACACTTCTCTCTGTTCTCTCTGTCTCTCTGCAGCCTTTACTAGGGAAGGCATGTCTGTAAGTACCTTCTTGCCTCTTATTCCTCTTTCCAACCCTTTTTTCCATGTCTCTTGCCATCCTGCTGGGTTGTTCTGTTATTGCAAAATCCGGACGCGGTGTGGATTTCTTGGAGTTAGTATTTTGCTGGTTTGGGGGAGATTTGTTTTAGGTAAAGAGGAGACTGTGAGTGCTGGTTTGTGTCCTAGCTGGATGGAATGTCCCAGTTTTGTTGTGAAATTAAGCAAATTATGGCTTTCACTCTGATGATGCCTATGGGTGATGCTATTGGATTTTCCTCGAGTTGTCTCCTCTGTGATAGAATGTTGTGCTCTAGGTGAGAATCCTGGGTGCTCTGTCCTTCCTGAGGGCTCTGAGTGTGAGTGATGGTAGCAGAGAGGTACCCGAGAAGCTTCTGACCTTCTCAGGAATGTGTTTTTTGGAGCTGGATGAGCCTGGGACTAGCCAGCTGCAGTTCTGCAAACCTGGGTTTTGGAAACAGTCAGCCTAGATGTTGTGGGAGGAGTGAATGGAAATTGTCCTTCTCTATCTCTTTTAAGAAAGCAAAACATCTTGAGCATTTGCTACACTAATTATGAATAATCAAGGCTCTGGCAGTTTGGCTTAGGGCTGTTATATCCCAGAGTAACAGGAACAGGACAGCTCCTGGATAAATTTGAAGCCTTTGGACTTTATTAATGCTTCATTGAGTTGAGAGCAGCAGTTCTGTGTTCAGATGTCTTCTCAAAGCCTGGGGAGACTTTGGGCTGAGCTGATACTGGGTAGTGGCCGGGGGTCTTTTTGCCCTCTGAGGGCCAGCTCAAATCAGCCTGTGAACATCCCTGGCTTGGGTTGTTCTGTGGGCTGAGGATGGAGGGATCTGCTCTAACATGGCCAGGCCAGAGCTCAGCCCTGCTTGCCTGTAGCACCTTTTGAATCTCATATTTCTTCCCCTTTTAAGAGTAAACATTTGTGAGAAAAGGGAATTTAGGACTGTTGCACTTGGGTTGGGTGAGATCACCGTGCTCCTGCAGGAGTGTAGAGGTTGGGTTGCTCAGCATGGCCTGCATGTCTGTGATCCTCCCCTTGCTGCTCGTGGCCACTAAAGCCCCTGGGGAACCCTGATCCTCTTGAGTTGCTCTGAAAGCATTTTAGCTTTTGTCCATCCTTCCCTCCACCGTTTTCACATCTGTATTGTAACACAAGGCACTGCATGCCTTGGTGCTGCCTGGGAACTGGAAACACACTCTGGTGTTGAGTTTGGGAGATGGATGTGTCAGATTTTGCTGAAGCAGGCACTGATGGTTGCCCATGCCAGGTGTAGGCTGGCAGCAGCAAATTTAAAATCTCCAGCTGCTTGGGGGCCTGTCTCCCCTTCCTAATGTGGGACTTAAAGCTGCTTTTGTGGGACCCATGGGGACATGCCAAGCCTGAGGCTTGGTGACATTCACACTGCTGTTAGCTCTGGGAGATGGCTGTCTTGTACATCCCCATCCAGGAGGAGCAGGGCACACCTGGAGAGGCTGGGGATGTGGCTGAGTACCTCGGAGTCCTCCTGGCTGTGGGATTGAGCTGACTGGGGGTTGTGGGACTACCTGGCATGATGATTTCTTTTGCTTTTGTTTGCTTTGTGATCCGAGTGCACTTTTGAACAGTCACCTGATTCCCCCCTCCCTTCTTCTTCCCTTCACTTTTCATGCTTAAAAAGAAGACCCGTTTGTCACTTTCTCAAAGTTTTCTCTTTGCTAATATTTCCAAGGTAAATGGCTGTGGTGCATGTGGCTTTTCCCAACCCTCCTCTTGTCTCCTTAGACAACAGAGAGAACAGCTCAGCCTGCTCTGCCTTGTAGCCTGGCTGGGATTCCTGGTGCTTTTAAGAGGCAGCTTAGGTAGTAAAAGCATTAAAAAAACAACAAACAAACAATCTGCCAAAAACCAACCAAACAAAGAAAACAACAAAAAAAAGAGAGACTCCTAGCTGTTTCCTAGTCCTTTTTTCCCCCTACCTTGTTTCATGTAGTTCTGTGAGTTGGGAAATGTCCTTGTGGTCCCCTGGGTTTTTAGTGGAGCAGATCTCTCCTGGGGGCTGGTCCTGCTTGTGTGTAGCTGTTTGTCTCTGGTTTTATGGTCCTCACCACGTGCTGGTGGGTACCAGTTGTCATCACTCTGTACCAGGGCTGTGTTTGGAGCGTCTCTTGGGCCCATGAGACCTCATGGAGTGTCACCAGGGGAGTTTTGCTGCTGCTCTACCACTGCTGGCGGGGGTCCTTGGCATGGCCAGCGAGAGCTGCCTGTTCTTGGCATTGCCAAGGATGGACAAACAAAGACCTCGTCCTTGGCAGGCAGGGGGGACGCTGCCCACCCTCAAGGGGAGCAAGAGAGAGATGTTTAATTGTGCTGCTTGAATGAAGACTGTGGCCTCCTATCACCCAGTATTGACCAAAGAAGTGCAGACAGGGTGGGGTGGGAGGGTTGCCTTGGGTTCAGCTCAGATTTTAGGGATATCTAAACTCTAACACTGTAATTAAAGCCAGCAATGCTTGAGGAGGGGGTGAGCAGTGAGCCAGCCTCTCCTCGGGTGGGCAGCGTCCTGTGCTTTGTAGTGACCCATGCGTGGCTTTGTCCCCTTGTTCACGTGCTCCTACAAGATGCTGCTGGGCTGGATCCTGACCCCACCACCTCTCCTCCCCCTCTCGTTGCAGAACATGAACAACTCCCAGAAGCCGTCGTGACTCCGTGGGCACCGCCGTGAGGCCGCCGGCGCCGCCAGCTTCTCATCCCATCGCCATTCCCGAAGCTTGCTCCCAAGGCAGGCCCTCCCTGGGCTGCGCTGCCCGCAGAACCCCGCGCTGCTGAGCGGGAGGGATGCAGGAGGAGCCCAGCTCCATCCCGGGGTCACCACCAGCCCTTCAGGCTGCAGCCTTTGCTCTCCTCTCCGGCATCCTGTTAGGTCGTAGCGAGCTGTAAAGTGCTTCTGTAGCGCACAGGAGTTTAATTTTTCTTCTCTCTCAGTGGTTTTGATCTTCTGTGTAGATGATTGGTACCCATCCGGCTCTGGGTGGGGTGTGTATATATGTGGATGGTGCGGGGTTAGTAGAGAAACGGGGGGAAGGGGGTGGGTAAAGGGGTTTTGCATTTTTTTTTAATTATAATTAATGTTAATGACTTTTGAATAAGCCCTTAACATGCTGTGCTGCAATCCCTCACCCACACTACAGCTGGTCACACACGCCAGCCTGGCTCATGCAGATCTGTGAGCAGCAGGAAAAGCAGCTGTGTGAACTCCTTCACTGCAAGAACTGCTGGGTTTTAATAAAAGAAACCAACCCATTCTTTCACTTTTTTTTAATCAACATACCTTAAAGGGGTTTGCAGAGATTGTAGATCTGCTGCTGAAATTGGTTGAAAGATGCAAGCAGTGCATGAGGAACATGCCAGCAGGGGCTTGAGTGATGCTTTCATCTTGGGGAGCACCCAGGGATGGTCTGAGTTCAGGCATGGGCTGAATTTTGGGGAGGCTGAGCACTATTTGAGGTGCTGTGCTGGTATTTCATCTCCCCTTTCTTCTTTTTCAGATGAAAGTGGAGGTGTTGGGAAGGGTTTGAATCCCTAGGCTTAGATGCATTTTGTAGGTCTCATGGAGGTGGCCAGAGCTCTGGCTGAGTTGCAGGAGTCCCTGTCTTGACTGCAAAGAGGCATAAGAAGGGACAGTTCTGTCCATATTTTTTTAATTTTATATATACACACACAGATTGTGTGTGTATGTATATGTGTATACTTAGAAACTGCTTGGTTTTTGCACTTTATTTGTGGCAGAAGCATAACTACTTTATTTTTTTTCCTAGTTGTGCCCCTCAACAGGGGAAGCCTGAATACAGGCAACTTTTTATGTTTGTTTTTAATTGTATTTTGCATGCTGGAAAGCTGGGACTACAAAATTATAGTAGTTACAGTGTTTGAGGTGGGGGGAAACAAGGTGAGGACCTGACTGACTCCATCAGCCAACTCCACAAAGATCCCTTGTTGGCAGTCTGTCTTGGGCTGGGAGACAGTTAAAAATGGCAATTAACCACTATTGCTTTGTGCAAAAATCTGTGGAATTTGGATTTTTTTTTTAGGGTTTTGGGTTGGGTTTATTTTTCTTTTTCCTCACCTATATGCAACATCTTCTCCTGCAGCACTAGGCTGGGGAACTGGAGGTGGGCAACCCTTTGGGATTCATCCTTGCCATGCCATTCCTCAGTGTCCTGTGTAGGGAGCACCATCCCCAGAGATGGAATGGGAGAGGAGGTTTTGATGGAGAGATGATCTTTCTGTGGGTGTGTGCATGTTGTGGGGGTGGGTTTGGTCTGTTTTTTTCCTTTGGGAAAAGGTGAACCACAGTGCCTCGCGCTCCGGCCTCGCGCTCGGAGCGGCACCGACGGCGGGAGGGCTCCGGGGCCACGCTCAGCCCGTGTCCCACGGGGGTGACAGTCCTGGCAGTGCCCTGCCTGTGTCAGCTTGTGCATATGTGTATCATATATTCCTGTACAGATAAAGAACATCCCCCCACTACTCTGCTTTATTTCTGTTTTAATAGCCTCATTAAAAGCAGACTTCTCCCTCTGTGCCCTGGGTGGCAGCTACGCTGTTGGTTTCTCTGCCTTTCAGATAAATGAATGTTTTGGGGGAGGCCACTCGCTTTGGCTCTTTGCAGCTTCCTCCTTCGTGGGGAGTTTTTATCTCTCTCCTCCTGCTGCTGCAAAAAGATAAGCCAGCAAATACAAACGTGACGTCTGGCTGCCCCCGAGATCAATCCTGTACACATGTAATTGCACGGATGTTTTGGTGTGTATTTGTGGGTGTATATATATAAATATATATATATTAAAAAAAATTCAGAAAAAAAAACCAAAATGGCCCTTATTTTTCATCCTTTAGTAATAATAGATGTCTCAGTAGATCTACAAAACCCTGAAATTAAAACATGGTGTTTTTTCCAGCACTGGCAAAAAAATGGCTCTTCTGAGTTCCTCTTGTGCTAGAGAGGTTGGTGGGATGGTGTCAACAACTGCCCGAGAAACTTGCTGTCCATCTTTCTGGTTAACAGAGCCAAGGACTGGGCAGCTGATGCCACAGCCAAGGCAGATTGGGAGAGAGGACATGTCAAACCACACCAATGGTTTCTTCCCCCACCATTTTTTTTCCTCTGGTTTGTTTTCCTTTGTGATACTTGAATTTATTTTTTAATTTTTTTTAAATAGCAAAGCGCTTTTTATTTATTTAATGTATACTGCAAAGCTTGGAGAGAAGGGTGTAGTTGCTTGGGAATACTTTTTTTTTTTTTTTTNTTTTTTTTTTTTTTTTTGATTTGTGGTATGTTAACTGTTCTGTATATACATCTGGAATAATTGCCTGATATAAAGCTGTGCCAGCTTAAAAACAGGGTATGCCTTTCAGAAATTTGTATATTTTGCAGTTGCTGGACCAATAAAATACCTTGTTGAAATACAGATGTAATCTGGTTCTTCCTTGTCAGAAATCATGCTCTAAGGGTCACCATGTGCCACCCTGTGCTGCCTTACAGGTATATTCCCGTGCCTCATAAATAAAAATTATCATAAAAGAGAGACTGGGTGCTCCATGCCTGGAGGTATTCAAGGCTGAGTTGAAGGGGGCTTTGGAGAAGGTGTTTTTCAAACCACTCTGTGAATTCCACAAGTGTTAACACCTACTTAGGACAACCAAATGCCCCCCAAGCTCTAAGTGCTCTGTCACTCTTGAGTAGAAAAGTGGTATACTGGGACTTGTCCTGCCTAGATCTAAATCTAGGGTGCAGATTAGGCAGGACTAGGCATTTATTCAAACCTAGTCTAGTTCTTGAAATCAAATATCTGGGTGCTGAGTGAAGGGCTAGACAAGAGCTGTCCCCTGAGATAGGGGCTGTCTTTGCCCTGAAGGCAAGGAAACAGCTGCCACCTGCAAGAAAAGTTCCCTGTAAACCTGTGTATGGCTTTTTTTATTAATACATTTAATATCAATTTATTGTTTCAGGGGAAAAAGTGGGAGAAGGCAGTACAAGGTGTAATTTGACATGATTTTTGGCAACACATTTTGGGTGGATGCCTCTTCTGTGATTAGAGGTTTGTCCCACTGTGGGAGTTGTATCTCTAAAAGCTTGTGGGGAGCTAAAGGGGCCAAAATGTTCATCCCAGCTCAGCTGCGTGGTTTGGCTCCTGCTGGTGATGTGCAGCCCTTGCTCTGCTCTCCCCTGGGCTGGCCCAACCTGTCAGGCCTTGCTTTGGGCCAGAGCTTTTTGGGATGCACAGGGATCATCTCCCTTCTCCCCGTTGCTCTGTACTCCAGGCCCTCTCACCGAGGAGGGTGTTCTCTCATTTTAAGTGTGACTGAGCCACCTGCAATAATATTTCCTGGGTGGACATGCTGAGGTGTGACATGGTGGCCATGCTCATTCATCCCTGCGTGCATCCCGAGGGCAGGGAGGACTCGTGCCCTCTGGGAAATCCAGCAACCACAAGATTTTAATTTTTTTTTAGCCATTTTTTTTTATCTCTAGCGACCTGGCTTGTCTCCTTGAACCAGGCAGAGACAAAACACTTGTTTTAGGGCAATGGCTGCAGCCTTGCATTGCCTCCCAGGGAGTCCTGCAGGGGCTCTGATAACTCCTCCAGCCGGGGTGGGCTGAGGTCACACGAAGCCACAACATCAGGGCAGCTCCCCTGCCCTCCCCAGCCATGATAAAACCTTGTCCTTGCGGGGAGAGCACGAGGAGGAAGGTTTTGCCTCCCTGAGAATGGCTTTGGGCAGCATTTCCAAGGCTGCTCTGTAAGAAAATGCCCCCAACCCAAAAATCTCTTCTATTTTCCATGTGCACGATGGAGCTTGTGTCACACCACCCCTAAGTAAGGGAGGGGAATCAGGTGCCAATGGCATCCCAGGCAGCAGCATCCTTTATTTTTCTTCCATGTGATACATTTTGTCACAGCATCCCAGAGAGGAGAAGCTCCTCGAGGCAGTGCAGCTTTAAATATACTAATGTTTAATGTTATACTCGACAGCAGGAACATTTCCCTGCTCCCAGTCAAGTCCCATTTTTATTTAAAAGAAAAAAAAAGGAATAAACCCCCAGCTCACTGCTGGCAAACAAGGCGAGAGAACTTGTGATGGCTAAAAAAAAAATTAAATAAATAAATAAAAAGGGCAGAGCAGTCACGCTGGCTGACTCAGCTCTGATTGATGGCTCAGGAATGTGTCTGGGATTAACCAAACCACGGGCAAACCTTTACAATGCAACACATTGGGCTCACCTGCCTGCGGCTGGGGAGTGACTGCCCTCACATCATGGCATTGGACGGGGTTTTTCTTCTTTTTTATCCATCTGTGAGAAAAAAAAAAGATAAAAAGAATCTGCTATTTTCGGGAGTTGCTTTGCAAAGGACTCTAGTAGGAATTATTTGCAATATTTCCAGGTGGCTAGATGCACTTGTGCAGTTTTGCTGCAGCCAAGACATCCCAGGAAGGAATATATTTATGTTGATATATAGCATAAACCATCTCCCCTTTTTTCTTTTTTAGACAGAAGTGGACGTACTGGGGAGGGTGTGAATCCCTAGGCTTGGGTGCATTTTGTAGACACACAGACCTCATGGAGGTGGCCAGAGATTTTGCTGGATTCTAGCTCTGTGAAAATCAGTCTCACTGCTCCATGCCAAAACTCTGCCAAAAGTCAGGGTCCCTTCCCCATCCCCAGGGAAGCCCGTGTTGCATTCATGGTTAATGGAAAGCTGCGTGGATGTGAACATTTTCCCCTCACATTTCCCTTGTTCGTGTGTCCAGCTGTGTCCTCTTGGAGGCTGAGTGGTGTGGGAGGTAGAAAAAGTGTATCAAAATTGACTTTATTTGTCAGCAATGCTGGAGGACACATCATGTGGATGGAGGAGTAGTGGTAAGAGTCAACACCAAAAGCATTGACATAATCCCATAAACCTGATCTAGCTACAGATGTTGGACAAGATAACCTTTAAATGTCCCTTCCGACCCAAACTATCCTATGATTCTATCGCAGGAAATTAATTTACAATGCCTACATCAAGGTTGGCTTCATCTCTCATGCTCCCCCTGGGAGTGCCCTGCTCTGTGATGCTCTGGGGAGGACATGGGTGTACCCAGCAGCTCCAACTCAGCTGATGCTGGGCTAAATGCCTTGAGAGGTCTTCTCTGGATGTTATCTCCCACAGCCCTAAGAAAATCTAATTTACACTGTGACAACAGTTACTGAGTCTGGTGAGCTTCAGGGCAAGCCAGATAAAAAACCCAGATGATGAATCTGTCCACCCAGCTTCCTGCACAGGGAGAATATTATTTTTCTTGTTGATCTAAGACTTGGATCCAACACGAACTGAAGGGACAACATTCAGGATCCCCCAGGCTTTATGAATTGCTTCTCCCTCTAGTAGAAGGTGCAGACTCTGATACTGCACCCACTCCTGGCCAGCCACCAGCAAACATTATTTGATCTTCATTTTGAATGCTCTTTGTAGAAGAAGTTAGAGAAGTGGGTGGCAGCAGAGGTTGTGACCAAAAAACGCAGCTGAATTAGAGCTACAAAGAGAAGCAGTAATTAAGACCTAACGAATAATTACCATGGGGGAGGACAGCTCAAGAATGAGCACAGCCCCAAATCCAGATATTTCTAGCTGCAGCTCAAACCCCACAATTAAGCTGTGATTTTGGTCATTATGAGGAGGTATTTCCAGAGCTGGGTCTTGCCGTTTGCTGCCTTCATCCACCCAAATGACTGCCTGAGCATCAGCAGAAGGAAAACCCAGCATTTTGATAAATGTCATCCAAACCAGACTGGAGGGCCTGTGTTGGATGCCTCCACCAAAGCTGGCTGCCAACCTGTGGGCAGAGCTGGAGATGAAGAGAGGAGAAGGATTTCTGGCTAGCAGGGGATGTGTTGCTTTAGAGGTTGGTGGCACCTAAAAATACCAATGGCCTCCGTTGGGAGCCCCACCGTGCAAATGTCACCTTACATTTCTCTGGTTCCTCGTCCATCTCTACCCACTCATTACCCCGGGACACTGATCCATCAGTGGCAGAGGGGGACAGGAGCTGTGGCTCTCACACAGGTACCTGGTCACCCCATGCTGTCCTTGGGTGTCCCCTCGCACTGTCAGCTGCATGTCAGGGTGATGGCACCAGTGCTCATGGCTGATCTCCTCCCTGCCTCTCCTACTGGTGCTGCTGCAGGGACTATGACTTACCCTGCCACTCCAGGGCTGCTCTTTTCCCTTTCAGACAGTATTAATGTCACCTTCTCCCATCAGTGACACCACAGCGGTGCCCTGATTCACTCACTCCTCCTGCCAGCCTTGGTTCACCCATGACAACTTCAGATGTTCTCTCCTGCCACACATCCACCTTATTCTCTCTGCCTGCCTCATCCTTCAGCATTGCTCTGGTATTTTGTCCCAGTCTTTCCTATCCTCCATTTGGGCACTTTCTCAATGACATCTTTACACCACCATTGCTGTGGATGAGCCCACCTCCTTGAAGTCACTTGGTACAGGGAAGTTATTAGCTGGCTATAAATTACCCAGCAAGGACTGGCTGCTGTATAAGCAAGGCAGAAGAAAATAATAAAAAGTTGATATTCATCATCATTCATTTGTAATAATGACTGGGATACCTTTCCAGACTTGTTAACTGGTTTATGGTGGATATTTCTGAGCTTGGCCACTGCACAGAGACTGATTTAAGCATCTTTTATGGCACAGTTTTGCCCGTGATGGCATCTGTTGCAGAGGGGAAAAAAGTCCACCTGCATCCCTTAAATAAAATCGCTTGCAGGAGTCAGCAAACCCTGGAGAGAGATGGGACTGGGAGGAAAGTGAATTAAGACAGCAAAGTTGTAATAAAGGGTTTGAAGGACTCATGGTTACAGCTGGCTGAAAACCAAGGATTTTGGTTCACCAGAGATGTTATTTTTAAAATGTAAATAAAAATAAAAATACCTTCCTGTCCAAATGGGATGGAAACTGATATTTTTCAAAATTTCTGAAGCTCTTCTTGACCTCATGAACTGACATATCATTTTCCCTGTTTTGCCAAAGATGTTTTTAAAGAAGCGTTGGCCTTTTTTGAGAAACAAAAAAATTTCTCTTGTTGGAAAACCCTGCGCTGGAGTAATGCTGGGGGAAGAAGAACCACTGATGGGAGAATGGGGGTGACATTTCATCACTCATTAAAGATGAAATGAGGTTTTCACTGCCTTTATCTTAGGGCTGGATGCCCTTATCTTAGGGCTGGGTGCTCACCTTGCCCACCCCCAGGCACCTCCTGGGAGACCCAGCAGAGAGGAGCAATCTCAGGAATGCAGATGTGACCCAGCTGGTGTCTCTGGCACCTCACTGTCATCCCTGGAAATGCTCTCAGCAGCTTTGTCAGCAGTGCCCCAGGCAGGCAGAGAGGCTGGGAGGTCTAGGCTGGA